TAAATGTCAACTAATGCTCATTAATTTGCAACTACGTGTCTACTAACTCTCAGAGTAGACTGTTAGGTTAGGTTTAGGGTTAGTAGAATAAGTTGGCATATACAGTACTTGCAAAGTTTCTCATAGTCAGTATGTTGTATATGTCGTGGACCCATCAAAATAAAGTGTTAGAAGATATTAAGCAGACAGTCTGCTAATACTCTAATGACTGCTAGTTGACATGTAGTTGCAAAGTTACTTACTGTTAGCAGAATGTCTAAAGTTGACTATAAAAATAAAGTGTTACCCATATTAAAATTGCAGTGTAAATTAGAAGTGGAAGTAGCAACAGATCTTTTTTTCCGTATTGTGTCGAAAAAATTATCTGATTATCCGTCATTTGTTGAATGGATGGTCAAATTTCAGAAAGCTTTTTATAATGACATGGTATATAGATTATATAGTATACAGAGAATATAGTAGGTCTCTTGTTTCAATGAAACATAGAATTATGACATTTTTATGACAAATTATAGCTTAAAAAGTTTTATCCATGCATGCGTTTTTATTTTTTAAAAAGATCTATTTTTCTATTGTTCCCTGCTGGTGGAATGACCTGCCAAACTCGATTCGAGCAGCTGTGACTTTAGCCATCTTCAAGAAATGGTTAAAAACACGTCTCTTCCATCTATACTTGACCCTCTCAGACTAACACTCTCTATTCTATTTCTGTTCTATCTACTTGTTCACTTTTTATTTATTATAAAACGCTTGACCCTCTAAAACTAACACTCTGTATTTTATTTCTATTCTATCTAATTGTTCTATATAATTCTTTTTATTTATAAAAAAATTGACCCTCAAACCCTAGTAAAAATGTAATATATTTAAAATAAATGTATTTAATAATAAGTATACTGACATCGCTCGAGACTTACTGATATAAAAATTATAATTAAACTTTATTTGGAGTACTACTTGTGCACAATGCACATTTCTTAATATTATGCCACGAATGTATTTTAATGTCACTATTGATGAGGACTGTATGATCTTTAAATATTGGTCTTTAAATGCGAGATATTTAAAGTGTACCTGAAGTATACTTGCAATAGTTCCACTTTAGCGCAATCAAATATACTTCAGTATATCTTTAGTTGGACTTCAGCACTACTTCTGCACAATTCAAGTGGATTAAGTACAAAATTAGTTGTTCCAATTTAGCAGACTTTAACTATACCAGTTTAGTATACTAAAAGTACATGTAAATTTATATGTAAATGCATTTGTGGTATACTTGGCATGAAATAAATACATTTTAGTATATTTATTTTTCACTAGGGAACACTAGCATTCTCTATTCTTTTTCTCTTCTATCTACTTGTTTTCTTTTTATTTATTATTTTAAAAAACATGGTGTGTGTACTGCATTAGTCACAGCACTTACACATTGTTGCTCTTATGTTGGTTTGATTGCTTCTATTGTCCTCATTAGTAAGTCGCTTTGGATAAAAGCATCTGCTAAATGACTAAATGTCAATTTAAATGTAAAAAAAAATAATAATAAAACATATGCATGGATGAATTATTCACAATAAAAAACAGCTGGTACACAGTGCACTAGTAAGGTCAGTGACCCACCTTTCCTTCAGAAACATTAGCAACTGAACGCACGAGTTTAGCACACAAGCAGTTAAGGTTTTCAATCTGTGGTCAGTTAGGCCTGTCACGTTCCTTTGGGAGATGTGTCCTTTTACCAGGTGATTCATGTTTGTAAAGGAATCATTACTCTTAAAGTACCAGGCATCCTAGTGTGACTTCCTCAGTCTGCTTTTGATGGTCGGCCGCTTTGACGACCTTGAAGATAAACTTTTCACGCTTAAAATGAGTTTGGTCTTCGGTGTAAAATCTTATTTATCACTCGTCTGCCCCTGTGGGAGAAGACGAAGACGTCATGCACAGTGAACATTTTTCCACCGTTGCGCCGCTCACTATATCAGATACACGGATCATCACAACAGACGGGTGAATCAATTACATTGCTCAACTGTGCACATCCTCAAGAGCCATAATCAAGATGAATCGTGGTTTTGTAACTAGTGCCCCCAGACAGAGTTCAAATATCTATCGGCTCGCAACTCCACGCATGCAGTTAGTGCCATCAGGATCTCAAAGGGTTTTGGTGGGAGGAAATTCTGGTACAGGCCTTTATTAGATGCTCCACTTCTCTATGTCGGGTGGAAATCCAATTCTGTGACCTTAGAGATGTGTTTGGGGACTGAGAGAGAAGTATTGATTTGCAGAATTGGGACTTATCAGCTCTAACAATTCTGTACCTTTGAGAATTTTCATGGAGGAGGCAATTAAATAAGAAAAAATAAGTATGACACCAGAGGGTGAGTTTTTCTTAGTTCGATGATCTCATATGGTATATGTCATTCATGATGAGGTGAAATTAGAACATTTGGTAGGGGCAGGAAGGAAGCTTGAAGTTACTTCACAGTATAAATAGGGATGTAATGATGCACCCTGAGACGGATGAAAATCCATACAAATACGTGACAAATCGAGTCGGTTGAGATTGTAAACGAATCGCAATACAGTTGGGGGTGGAGGTTTATATGAATGTATCTCTGAGGAGAACTGACTGTCTTTAGAAAAGTTTAGATTGTATTTTCTTTTGTTTTTTAATGAGTTTTTCTGAGTTTTCTATTTTGTTTAAATGTTAAAATATTTTATAATTTAATGAATTTAGAATTTCACAGTCTAGTGCTATTGCTATCTAATGTCATGTTTAATTCAAGTGGGTTGTAAAGATTTCAAGTTAATACAATTTTTTTTTTTTCATGCAAAAGTCTTGGTTTGATTTCAGTTTTTCATAGTTATGTTTTTTTTTTTTTAGTAGCCTGTATATACTATATACACTGTTTAAGTTTGGAGTCAGTAAGTTTTTATTTTATTTTATTTTATTTTATTTCATTATTTCATTTCATTTCATATTATTTTATTTTATAATGACACATTAAATTGCTCAATAATGGCAGTAAAGACATTTATTGTTTCAAAATATTTCAAATATTTCAAAAACATTTTGTTCTTTAAAAAAAAATAAAAAATTAAGCACAGCATTTTAACACTGATAATAATAAGAAATGTTTCTTGAACACCAATCATCATATTAGAATGATTTACGAAGGATCATGTGACACTGAAGACTGGAGCAATGGCTGTTAAAAATTACATTTTAAGATGTATTCAAATAGAAAAACAGTTATATATACAATATGAATGCAGGTCAACTGTAATGAAGTGCAGTGACTCCCCTTCAATACAAATCCAGTGATAAAACACCTCTCAAAGCCTCTCATTCTGGGATTCGTTAATCATTTGTAAAATATTCTGCGGTAAATGCTATGTTCAATAAAAGGAATAATTTATGAGTTTTCACAGGAAAGATCCACACGAGAGTATAACACCGACATGCTAAATGATCCTTTTGAGTGTACATCCTTACCCACAGCCTTCAGTGAGGCGTATTTGTTGAGCGCTTTTGCCGATTGCTGTTGCTCATAGACATGGGACAGCTGGCTGAGGGCTGGATACGGGTGCGTTTGCATCATGTTGTTTATCTGGCCGCCTTCTGCAAACAAAAGAAAATATTGTTAAAGGGTTGCATCATTATTTTGTCTTAATTTACAGCATTTTCTTAGTCATCTCTAATAATATGTCTTGCTTCCTGCTGACTAACGTCACTTGGGATTCGCTCGCCACTGATAACAAAAGACAGACACCTAAAGGCTCTAAAACTTTCTGTACATACAGTAGGTCGCAGGCAGACGAAAAAAGAATCGGACTGAACGGATCCGATAACGAGCTGTTTGATGTGTGTGTGCGGCTAGTGTCACAACCCAGTCCAATCTGCCTCCTGTGATGTGACAGTCAAAGAATAAGCGATGGTATGTATATACAACCAGTCCCATTGATTTCCTCCCTTGACTTCCTCTGGTTCATAGAGATGAAAGAGGTGTGACCTGCGTGGCAGAGCTGTCAGCGCAGAGCTCCTGTTGTGACTAATTAATCACTTAGCCCTGCAGCAGGGTTGCTGACACACGTCTGTACTGAGCGCGCGTGCAGTGAATCATACCACACCAGACATCACACAGATTACTGCTCAACAGAGCTTCAGAAAACACTATAGACTACTGTACACGCATTAGCGCTTAGTATGCATGTGTTCTCTAATGTTTTTGTCAAATAATAACAGATTATTTGTCTTTGTTTTGCCATAGCTTGTGGAAAATATTATTTATTTGCAGTGTTGGGAGTAACGCATTACAAAAGTAATAATAACAACGTAACATTAATGTAGACCTACATACCGGTATCTAAATATGATTTCATATTTTATGCTATATAGACCTACCACGTTACCCTCCACTGGATGTAGAATGAGCAGCATTAAACTACATTTTGGCATTTTACAATACTTATGTGGATATTTTGGATGAAAGTAACTCAAAAGTAACTCAAAAGTAGTGTAATGCATTACAATTCAGAGACAGTAATATTGTAATGTAACTAATTACTTTCAAAAGACAGTAACTAGTAATATATAATGTATTACATTTTGGAAGTAACTTGCCCAACACTGTTTATTTGCTAATAGTACATCGTTATTTTCAGTTATGTAATGTTCAAAATTGGATGACTCAGGGAAAACAGATACTGAATGCTTTGAGTGCACAGATTCGTACTGTGCAAACTTCACATGAAAGTCTTGACTAATGTACACTACTGTTCAAACGATTTTTAAAAAAATAAAATGAATACTTTTATTCATAAAGCATGATTTTTTTTGCTCAAAAGATTTAGTTTTAGATAAATGTTCTTTTAAACTTTCTATTCATTAAAGAATCCTGAATCATGGTTTCCACAAAAATATTAAGCAGAACAACTGTTTTCAACATATTAATAAAAGCAGACCAGCCTATTAGAATCATTTCTGAAGGATCATGTTACATCAGAGGAATAATTTGCATTGTAAAATATCTACATTAAGTGGCCTTAACTACTATGTACTTACATCAACAAAAAAAAAAGTACAATGTACTTATTGTGTTCATATTTTATTGCAAAACACTTTTGCTGCTATTGAGGTGGGATACAGGTACGGTTATAGGGACAGGTTTGGTGGCTATATGAAACTAATTACAGATGTAATTACATGCAGGTATTTTTTAAAATATAAGTACAATGTAAAAACACGTATGTACACAATATGTGCATTGTACCATATCATTATTTTAAATGTAAGTACATAATAGTTAAGGCCACTTCATATAAAATGGGACCAAAGAAATTGAGCATAAGAGACTTCTTTGAAAAACATGAAACGTTTGAAAATGTGATTCTTCAATTGGTCCCAATTCTGTCCCCTTAAAATTATTTATAATTTCATTTTAATCTAGTTTTAAAAGACAGTTAGCTATAAACTTTTTTATTCAGTCTCTTTAATTATACATTTTTGATGACTGATTTTTTTATTAGTGTTACATTTGCCAGAATTTAGTTTTATTATCACTCTAAAAAAGTCACATTTTCATTAATTTGGTATATATACATTTGTTTATGTGTGTGTGTTTTGCCCAAGTCTTAAAGTCTCTAACAGGCAAAGGGCAAAGGTCAGTCGGACATTATTAAGTGGGCTAAGGGTCTTCGTCCCGGTCCTCAGATATGTGACCTATTCCTTGACCTCAGGCAAACTGTAAGTGGCGAGATGAGCACATAATAGTGCGAGTGGTGGGCCATGTATTTCAAGTTTAGTGAGGTCAAAAACCAAATAAACTTCACAAAGCCAGAAGAAGCACATATACAATAATAAAAAAGACATAAACACCTCTTTTTTGAAGAACATTTGTTGGATCTTAGGCCAAAACGTTCCTGTTAACCATACATGCTGTTCATTTTGTACACCACAGATTTTGCGGCCTACTCTTTTGAAAATTTGACAGAAGTAGCAGATAAGTGGGAGTGATCCCATGCCTGGTTCTATTCAATTTCCTTGGTATCTTAGTGTTTGTTTTGTTTTGTGTAAGAAGCTGACTCATCTCCACTGGGAGAACTTCCTCCTAAGTGTTTGGTTGCAAATTGCCTTTACACCATCTTCTCCTTGTGCTATCGCTCTCGTCATGGCAACACAAGCGTTTGTGCTCTGTTTGCGGTACATGCAGCCAGCCTCTTGTATGGTTTCCACCACCCACGTGCTAAGAAAGCTCAGTGTTTGCAATTGATGGACCTTCGGTGTTTGTTCTTGTGTTTTTAAATACCCCATCTTTACTAGCCCGCCTAACAAGGAAACATTAACACGCATTAATTAGCAATTGTTATCTGCTGCTGCAGTGTGATGGAGCGGGTTTAAATACAGGCATGTAAAGGGCCCATCACAGCCTACAGTGGATAATCCCTGTCAAGTGGATCTAATACAGACCTGTAGGGGCGATTCGAGAATTTTAGTCTAAGTGCGCTCAGCCTCCGACCTGAGCATGAGCTCATGTAGCTCAGAGGAACTTTTCTTTCTTGAGGTCTGAGAGGTTGCGAGCATGAATCTTGCTCAACAATATGACAATATGTCAGCCAGTGTTTATGGGAGTTTTATTTTATTTTATGTGACACATCACTAACAGCTGTGTGATGTCACCTATATATCCAGGTCTGCTTTGACTGGAGGGAAGGATGCTGGTGTGAAGTTTCATCCTGAAGAAAAGATTCAGTGAAATGACAGCTTACAGCAGTTGGTGTTTTCAGCAAATTTAAAGAGAGATCACAGATTTTTATAAGTGGTGACAGCTGAGTTTGTCACAGTTTTTGAGTGAGGTAATGAGTTAAAAGAATAAATATAGTCTATGCAAACTTGCCTGCTATATTTATCTAGTGGAGAAGTATGCATGTATATAAATAATGCGTGTGTATCAGGACACAACAATAAGAATAGTGCGCTGGCCCTGGAGAGTGTTTATGAATTCATAATTAGATTTTGTATAATTTCTTTTTTTACAACTTTTTTAAAATAATGAGAATTTTAGTAATCTATTTTTTAAAAGAAAAATAAGGTAACATTTTACTATAGGGACCGATTCTCACTATTAACTTGTTGTTTATAAGCATGCCTATTATTAACATTGGCTGTTTATTAGTACTTATAAAGCACATATTCTTCATGACCATATTCTACATCCCTAATAACAACTACCTTACTAACTATTAATAAGCAGCAAATTAGAAATTTGTTAATGGCGAGAATTGGACCTTAAAATAAAGTGTGACCAAAAATAATGTTTACATACATCTTGTAGAATCTGCAAAATGTTAATATTTTGACCAAAATAACAGATGTTTACATTAGCCCACAAAGGCAAAATAATATAGCTGAATTCAGATGACCCCATTTAAAGGTTACCCATCTGTTATTTGAAAGTAGTTTGGCTGCTTTGGCAGTTAAACTGCTGTTCTTCAGAAAATCTTCCAGATCCTGTACTGTCTTTGGTTGTCCAGCATCTTCTGCATATTTAAACCCTTTCCAGCAGAGACTGCATGATTTTAAAAATCTTTTCACACTGAGAACGACATAGGGGACACAACTATTACAAAAAGATGCAAACATTTACTGATGCTCAAGAAGGTAACACATGTGCATTAAAAGCTGGGGGTGAAAACTATTGAACAGGATGGATGTGTGTAATTTTGTTTTGTAAAAATAGTTTAAAATGTACTGTATTTCAATATGACTGCATTTCAGAAGCTAAATATGGTAGATGTTTCCCAGAAGACAAATTAAGTACAATTTGCCCTGATCATTCAAAAAGGTTTCAGTCCTCTCCTCAGCTCTTAATGCATCATGTTGCTTTCTTGAGTATCAGTGAATGTTTGCTCCTTTTGTTAACAATAGATGTGTATGAATTAAACTTATTTGAACTTTTGAATTGGTTTATTTGCATAAATTCAGTTGTTATTTTGTCTTGAGGACTACTGTATATGTGAACATCTGTTATGTGAAATAGCTTATGAGAACAACAGTACTAAAATAAATAAAAAAACATGCAAAATCTTTGATCCCTCTTATTTTCTTACAATTATTAACATTTTGCAGAATCTGCCAGGTTTATGTAAACATATGACCACAACTATACCCTGTTTAGGTGGCAGAGGCACAATTTATTACATTTATTTTGCTGTTTAACTGACTTGATTTGCCCAGCACTGTTTGGCACTATTAATAACAACCATTCAAACAGACAGATAGCAGCAGAGGTAGAATAGAAGTATAAGCTGCTCAGAGAAAGTTAGGTCACAATTAATTTGAAATGTGAGAAGAGGGCACAATCCTGTGAAACTGCTGCGGATGAGCGATAGAGAAGCAGAGTGTGTGTATGAAAGCTGTTTGCTTCTATCAGGATCCACTATTGTGCACTAAATGGGCTGGCCTGTGGATGGCAGAACGTTTGCTTTCTTTAAAAAATGAGGTCAAAGTGCACTTGATCATATAGGTTTGCTTTTAGTGCTGGACCTCTTGCCTTCTGTGTACAGCTACTCCACACTGCAGGACACGTGACAAGAGGAGAATGATAATGTGTAGTTTTATGT